GATTTTGGAAAATCGCAATGCGAATTTGTACTATCGCATTGCGATTTTCAAGAATCGCGTTGCGATTTTGGAAACTGATTTGCGATTCTGGGGATCGCGTTGCGATTTTTATTTCGCGTTGCGATTTTGTTGGTCATTTTGGCAAATCCAAAAAAAGTTGGTTAAAATCGTATATTATAACTTTTTTTTGGTCACTGAGGCGATTTTCTCTTAAATTTATATTTAGTTCATAACTTCTATGGAATGAAATTTCTTTGGAACTCAATATTTGACTTTATATAAGAGATGAGGTTTAGAACAATTTTGTTAATATTTAGAGTTTATGAAATATAATAAGGTAAGTAAAATCGAACCACATTAAATTTTATTTTTTGCTTGTAATTTAATTCATGTTATCACACTTTGATCTTTTTTTTTTTTGCCTACAAATTTATAATATTTAAAGGTATAGTGTTTTATAAATTTTTTTGACAAATTTTAAATCTAAACCTAATTTTATTTAGAGGGAATGGAAATGGAGATTTTAGGGGAAGAAAGAAGAATACTCGTAATGGGTTTAGAATTCATGACCTATCGAAATATGAGAAAATAAAAATGAGAAATTTGACCGACCAACCAAGTATATTTTCTCTAATTGTATGTAGAATATAATTCGAATTCCATCAAATGCAAAAGAATGGTATAGGATCTATTGGTTTGGGGGAGAATCATGAATACATATATACTATAACATATATCCAACCACCAACCCAACAATAAGTGGGAAACATAGATAGATACGCCACTAATCTATGTTTTAATCATCACTCTTCATAATGTCAAATGTCCACCACTACCAAAACTTTTATATTTACATGTCAAAAAATAAATATTTCAATTAATGAATTCTAAATACCAATTATTTACAATATAGTGTATTAAATATTTATCATATTAATGTATTGACTGAATATATGACGTATTGATGATTATGTATCATCGATGAATTAAACAGCAACACATCATAAAAATTGAATTTAAACTTTAAATCATATGTAGAATATTCAAATCTGCCCAAAATGAAATGATTAAAATTCACACCCTCTCAAAAGCAAATATATTCTTCATTTTGTAATTTAGAATCAAATTTAAATATACAAATCTACATAAAAAAATAGAATTTGAATGATGCATATCCGATAATATTTGTCGGTATCTACTTCGAATCTACATAAATTATGATTTTAATATCTAAATTTATAAATTATATAAACTTATGATATACAAACTTACAAAAAATAAATCAAATATTCAGACATATACGAATCCGTAATCTTAATCACCATATCTGGGTAAACCGGCCGCCTGTTTTATGTTCCTTATTTAATGGGATAAATTATAGGTTTAGTACTTTAACTATTATTTTTGTTCCGTTTTAGTCACCTAATTATTTTTTGTTTCAAAATTATATCTAATATTACACTTTGATTTCATTTTAATCATCCACCATTAGAAAATCAACATTGATGCTGACATGCCACAATAAGGTAATATTATGTTATTTTTGTTTCTTTTTTTAAATGTGACATGAATAATTCTGTTAATTTTTAACGATAGATGACTAAAATAAAATTAATATATAATATTAAATATAATTTAAAAAAAAAATTAAAGGACAGAAACACAACAAAAATAATAGTCCGGACATGTAAGGTTACTCTTTCTTTCAAAGAGAAAAAGCTACGTTGATTTGGCATTAAAATTTTGACAATCTTTCGAGGAAACTGAGGAGGAGGCGCTATCACACGCGTGCACCCACCAGCCGATTTTTTTTAAAATATATAAGTAATAAAATTAGGAAATTTATTTGACACGTGTGTGAAATAACGTCATTTTAACTAAATTCAGATTTTATTATTCGTTCAGTTAAATGAATCAAATTTACTATTTAATTAATATGTTTATTAAAACTAAATAATAAAACATATACATTTTAATCCTGACTATAGATAATGTTTTGTAGAATATTTCGGCTATTAAAAGTTATAAAATGGTCCTTAGATTATAAGATATTATTTTGTCGAGTCCCTCAATTATTAAAAATTACAAAATGATTACTCGACTATTCATATATTTTAAACTTGTCATTTTTTGTTAAAAAAATAACGAAAGTCTCAGCTAGACGTTAAAATGTTGATTGAGATATGATAAACTATGATCTCATAATCTCAAGCTACTACCACATCTCAGTTAACATGTTAATGTCCAGCTTAGACGGCCATCAATTTTTTAACGAAAAAGGACAAATTTAAAACATATGAATAGTAGGATGATCATTTTGAAACTTTTTAATAGTTGAAGAACTCAATAAAGAAGTTTCCTATAGTTGGGAGACCATTTGGTGTAGTATACCCTAAATTTTAAATATTTAAAAATAATAGCGTTCACAACGACAACTTTACCCGTTAAATATGCCTTTGTTTTCTTCAACTTCTTTTACTTTATATTTCAGAGTTGAATGAAGCTGTAAATCTTTTTTAGCCTTCATTTCAAGCCCGCCGCCTCTTCTTTCGCAGTTGATCTTCTTCTTCTTCTTCTTCATATGGAGAATTATCAAATGTTCTTTCCTGTCTCATCACCATCAAACATGGAACACACTAGTTCTCAAGTGCTTTTAGACAATTTTAATGGGGATACTTCGAATGGGTTGTTGTCGGATATGAAGACAGACAAGTTCACCCAGGTAGCAGAAGTTAAGGAACTTGTTGAAAACGGTAGATTTGTCGGGCCTGAAATTGAGATAAAATCAACGGGTGGTGATTGTTGCAGAAAGGAGAAGAAGATTAGGAAGCATAGATATGCTTTTCAAACAAGGAGTCGAGTTGATATACTTGATGATGGATATCGTTGGAGGAAATATGGGCAAAAGGCTGTTAAGAACAACAAATTCCCAAGGTTTAATTTTATTTATTTTCTGTGATTTTCAGCTAATTTTTCTTCCTTATTTTGTTACATGTAATGAACAGCTTGATGCATATGTATATGTGTTAGACACGCATACTCAAATTAACTTTGCCAACATGCATGCATGGGTACAAATTTAGAATTAAATTGCATACATGGTTTTGAGCTCAGTTGGGTGATGCTATAAGAATTGAGGGTACCGACGGAGACGGTATCTTCTGGAAATTTTAAATTTTCATGACTCAAATAATTGTTTTTTGTAATTTATTAATAATTTAATTTGATTTTCTATAAAATTTTTTAAATACATTCTCCTAGTATAAAACCTTACGTCTGTATACGTGTACAGAAACTACTATCGATGCACACATCAAGGATGCAATGTAAAGAAGCAAGTCCAACGTCTAACCAAAGATGAAACTGTGGTTCTAACCACTTACGAAGGGGTTCACACTCATCCCATGGACAAGCCAGTCGACGATTTTCAGAATATCTTGAATCAGAACCAAATTTACACACCCTTTTAGTACACATATATATGAAATGATGCATGTATACTTCGGTGAAGCTAGCCATAGCAATCTTGAATTTGATCTTTCCACGTGAAATAATTAACTAAAAGTACTTTGGGTTCTGATAAAATTTCTTTTGTTGTTGAATGAATATAAGTTGATCCTTTAATGAGGCTCTACAGTATTCGATCAAGATTAGCCGATTAATTGATCTAATATCGGTGATTAAACCATAAAAGAATGTATATTAGCATAGTTAGGTACCTTTCTTGTTAAAATCTCCTGAAAAAGTGTTGGTTTCAGTGAACTAAAAAGTTCGATTTTAGAATGATAGACTAAAATTGCATTGAAAATTTTTCCCTTTATTTGTTAGGGAACGAGCCTCTAAAAACAATTTGATATTAATTTTATAATAACAAATAAGTAATTATTTAATTAATTATTATTTTTATATTCAAACGAAGTAAGAAAATAATTTTAGTTTTATCTTCAATTTTAATCACAACGCATGTTAATTTTATCTTCAATTTTATCAAACGAAGTGAGAAAATAATTTTAATTTTATCTTCAATTTTAATCATAACTCATGTTAATTGTATCTTCAATTTTAATCGTAATTCATGTTAGATATTAGTTTAGTTAGAAATATTATAATTATATAGGTTAATTTAGTGGCTAAACATGGGATTTTCTTTATAAGGGTCTCAAGTTTAATTTTTCTAAATAATATTTTAACATGATTTTGAGGTGATAATACACTTTAACTTAGATATTAGTTTTGATAGAAATTGAGTAGTTAATAGAGAAAATGATGGTTAATTGTGGAATTTATGGGTAAATATGTTTTTTTTTTTTTAGTTTTGATTATTGAAATGAGGAAGCAGATGATGGTTGGAGAAGATGTAGATGAAGAAAAAAGTGGGTGAGGAAGAAGATGAAGCTGTATTTTTTTTTTAATTTAATAAAGTTATTCAAAGGTAACTATTTCTAAAATTAAGAAGAAGAGATACATATAATATATAAATGTTGAAGGTTAAATTGTAAAGATTAAGAATTGAACTTGTTATTACACCAATGTTATTAATTATCATGTCATCTTCCGTTAAAAAGCTAAAATGGTCAATTTGTTTATATTTTTAGATCTAATAATGATTTAATATTTTTTTATTGTTGTAGGACTCAACTAAAAAATTGCCTAATAATTAGAGGGACTATTTGCATATTTTACCCATCAAGAAGATAAAGGAAAGCTCACCTTTACGCTAGCACCTGTTTTTTCCTTTTATTTGTATACCTTAACATTGAAACATTTATATACCTTACCCACCCTTGAAACTCAAACCCTACTTTCTCATCAAGTTTAGTATCATATCCCTCTCATCGTGCACACCTAGAATTGCCTCATTCATCCCTACATCATATATGTATAACCACTTCTTTTTCCAATTTGTATTGGAAGGACCAAAACTCTCTCTCAAAAGAAATCCTCAAACCCTTTGCTTCGAGTGCGAGTTCAAGAGAAAAAGGTGAAAAGAAAGAGAAATCATGAGCGCAGATTGGGGACCAGTCATCGTCGCAGTCGGCTTGTTCATCCTGCTGTCGCCAGGGTTGCTCTTCCAATTACCGTCGAGGACTCGGGTGATAGAGTTCGGAAACATGTGCACAAGTGGGATAGCCATCCTAATCCACGCCGTGATATACTTCTGCATAATCACCATCTTGATCATTGCCATTGGTATTCACATACACATCGAGTGATGTACATCTCATATGTACTACCTTGTTTCTAGTAACTATTATTTCATCTCTAGCGATACAATTTTCTGATGGGAAATCTCTTCCGTCAGTAATAGTTTTTTACTAAATTAAATTTCATTGGAAGTAATAATTTCTTTAGACATAAGCCACTACAGTGTTCTGAATACCTTTTTGTGTAACTAAAAGGGCTTTCAAATTTTATTCTATGTTTCTTACGTATTTTATTCATTGTTGTTTGCAAGAGAAATCTCGGAACGTGTAGTAATGAAGCTTATTTCTCGACATTTGCATGAAATTTATTCTGGTGTGATAAGGTTTTTGATGATTTTTACATTTTCTAGTTTTTTTATTTTTTGCTATAATTGAAACAGCAATTTCTATGTATATTTAGAACCAGGTCCAATTTAGCATGACATGTAAATATGAGGGTAAAATGTTTTGGAATTTAGACAGAGCTAAAATAACGTACATATATTGATGACTAAATTAAAATAATGTATCATTTAACATTAAAGGTCTTAGAAAATTTTCGTAATATAACATTGTAAGTAGGGATGGGTATTAATTCAAATCCGACGAGTTCTAATCTTACCTAATCTGATTGGGTCAAGTTTTTTTTCTTTTTAAAATTTTGTGTTTAATTCGGTCAGGTTTTTAAAGGATGACATCAGATTGGATTTAGAGTTAGGATGAAAAATAACTCGACCTGAGATAAAAATATATTTATCTTTTATATATTTAAGAATAATTGTAATAATATCTCGTTTTATATTATTTTTTAGTTAAGTCCCTATTTTACATAATAAAATAATTGTATATATTTAAGTCCGATGTGAAATTTTCCTTAAAAAGTCAAGTCAACTTTTAATTTTAATAAATTTGGCGTTTTTATTAAAAAAACCCCCAATAATTAGTTAAATAGAAAAACAACCCAAAACAACATTATTTAAAAAAGCCCCCCCCCCCCAATTGCCCTTATGGGACTACCTATCGTTCTAAAAAAACGCGTTTTAAAGACTTCGCGTGCAAAATACGAGATCCATCAACTTTTCAAATAACTTCATTTGATTTATAAATAAATGACACTATAAATGTATCGAACTCGCATTTCGTATAACATGAGATCTTAATCGCTTTTTATTAAACGCGATATTTGGGGATCATTTTTCTAAAAAAATGATTGGGAGTTTTTTTTTCTAAAAAAAATTGGTGTTTGGAGATTATTTTTCGAAACAATTAATTATTGGAGGTTATCAATGATATCAATGAAAGAGTTTATTTTTTTAGGTCGAGTTCGGATAGACAAAAATCCAACTCGATCTAACAATCGAGAGGTTCTGTTGTGAGAAAGTTAAAATACGGCTAAAAAACGACGTGACTGATTAAATAGGTGACTGATTATAATCGCTACCGAAAATGTTATATGTTTTCACTGGAAATATTATTTGTGTTGATAATAATAATGGTAATAACCAGAAATGTTATCGTTGTATGTAAAATAGGCCAAAAAAATATTGACTTTAATAATTTAGGTTAATTACTGAAAATATTATCAACCGTAATAAAATAACATGTTGTGCCTAAAATATTATAAACGGTAAGAAAATAAGTAAATTACTTATTTTGTTATTAATATTATCAACATTTTAGGTAGTGTCTAATATATTATGAGAGTTTAAGTTGATTGGATCTTAGAAATTCAACGATAACAAAATATGTTAATTACTTATTTTGTTATTAATATTATTAACATATTAGGTAGCGCCTAAAATGTTACCAAAATTTAAGCTAATGAGACCTTAGAAATCTGAGATAACAAAATAGGTTAATTACTTATTTTGTTATTAATATTATCAACATATTAGATACCGCCTAAATGTTACCAAAGTTTGAGCTGATGGAGCCTTGAAAATCTTACGATAACAAAATATGTTAATTACTTATTTTGTAATTAATATTATCAATATATTAGATATCACTTAAAATGTTACCAAAATTTAAGCTGATGGGGCTTAGAAATCTCACAATAACAAAATGTGTTAGTTATTTTGTTATTAATATTATGAGAAAATCGCCTCAGTGACCAAAAAAAAGTTATAATATACGATTTTAACCAACTTTTTTTGGATTTGCCAAAATGACCAACAAAATCGCAACGCGAAATAAAAATCGCAACGCGATCCCCAGAATCGCAAATCAGTTTCCAAAATCGCAACGCGATTCTTGAAAATCGCAATGCGATAGTACAAATTCGCATTGCGATTTTCCAAAATCGCAACGCGAATATGAAAATCGCAACGCGAACACATAAATCGCAACGCGTATCCGTAAATCGCAACGTGTATCCGTAAATCGCAACGCGTATGGGTAAATCGCAATGCGTATCCGTATATCGCAACGCGTATCCGTAAATCGCAACGATAATCCGTAAATCGCAACGAGAATCTGTAAATCGCAACGATAATCCGTAAATCGCAACGAGAATCCGTAAATCGCAACGAGAATCTGTAAATCACAACACTGAAATTTTGGGTATATAACACTGAAATCATAAACTAAATCCCTAAATCGCAACTCATTCCATCTCCATCTATCACTCTCCGGCGACATCCGTTCCTATATCCAACGACATCCTTCCCAATCCGGCAACAGGTTTTAGTTTCGCAGCTCGTCTGTTTAGTAAATTAATTTACAACCATGAAATCATCTAATGTTGATCATGTTTGGATAGATTTGTGTTTTGGAGGGTCATGGGATAATGTTAATGGTGTTTTACAATATATGTCTTTACCCATGAATCTTCAACTAAAATTGTCTTTACAAAAGTTAACTTATGAAACTCTAATGCTACGTGTTTCAAATAAATTGAATTTAGAGCCCCTAAGTGGATTTAGGCTATCTTATCAGAGAAATGGTAAAGTTTATTTGTTAACCGACAATGAAGATGTTGAACGATTCATTGCTTACATTAGTGTTTCACAAGATGATGTTACATTGTATGTTGTTGAACCTAGAAGTAGTATTGTTGGGTCAGTAGCGGGTAGTAATCAACTAAGTTTTTCTCAAAACCCACAACCTTTCTCTAATCCAAATCCCAATCAACTTTCAGCACCAAATTCCGGTTTTCGTATTGACCAGTTAGACGATGATGAGCCAACAGAAAAAATTGTGAGTACTAGTCAGTATTCGAAATTTGGTCTTGGTCAATATCCGGACTTTGATATTGGTCAATACACGGATTTTGATGATGTTTCAGAAGAAGAAACAGACCCTGCATGTAATGATTTTGATATTGGTCAATACCCGAATTTTGATGATGAAACAGCCGTTGCCGAAGAATGTATTGATGATGATAATGAGGAGGAAGTTACGACTGTGAATGAACATGTTGAACATCCATTCTGTAATTCATATAATCCTGAAGAAGAAAAAGAAGAAGAAAAATTCCCCGAAGAAAAGAAAATGCCACGGGCGTATAACTGGAATATGCCAGAATTACTTCAGATACCGGAAGAAGAGTTGATAAAGAAAGCAGTTGATTGTTACACAAAAGTTATTCGTATCAAGAAAGATGATTGTTTTGATACAAAGGAAGACTTGAAGATAGCTTTGTATACGAAATGTGTGGAAGATGGCTATCAACTAAAAGTTAACAAATCAAGCAAAGATCGTTTCGAAACAAGGTGTATGATTGACAAAAACTGTATGTGGCGTATGATTGCAAAGAGAATAAAAGATTGCAAAATGTTTCAAGTTAGGACTTTTATTGATAAACATACATGTTCAAGAACCCAAGTTTTTCCTCACCATAGACAGGCAAACAAAAAGGTGTTGGGTGGTTTTCTGGCTGAGTTAATGTTTTTGAATGGCAGGGTATATCGGGGACATGAAATTATGACTGACATGAATGCTCGGTTCAAGATTAGTATATCATATTCTCAAGCTTGGAGAGCCAAATGTTATGCCTTGGAATTGTTGAGGGGGTCGCCAGAAGCATCGTTTGCCCAACTGCCGGCTTATTGTCACAATTTAAAGCTGAAAAATCCTGGGTCGGTAACTCATATCAAAACAGATAGAGATGGATGCTTTGAGTTGCTGTTTATCGCCATTGGTGCTACGGTTAGTAAATCAATATAATTTTGTTGACTCATTTTTGTTAGTTACATGCATTTCACATTTAAATGATTATATTTCTTGTGTATATTATTTTGTAGATTCGTTCGTTTATTACTTGCATGCGCCCAGTTATTATAGTTGACGGAGCACATTTGAAAGGTCGATACCTTGGAGTAAACTTATTAGCAGTAGCCATGGATGCTAACAATGGGATATTGCCAATAGCTTACGGGGTTGGCAAATCTGAAACCTCTGATTCATGGACATGGTTTATGGGGCATCTTAGGGATTGCATAAGTCCTATTAGCAATCTGACAATCATATCCGATAGGGCAAACTCAATTGACAACGCTGTTAGAAGGTGTTTCCCAGATGCTTTTCATGGACTTTGTGGTGTTCATTTGTATAGAAATCTAAAATCAAGGTATGCTGGTATAAAAAAGCACAAATGGACATACTGGAAGGCTGTAAAAGCTTATCGGGAAGTGGATTTCAATAAGCATATAAATTGTTTAAGACGTGTTTTGCCTCAGTGTGCTCAAACACTAGAAGATGTCGGGTTTGAAAGATGGTCAAGAGTACATCAACTTGGAGTAAGATATGGTTTCATGACGTCTAATAGTGCAGAATCAATCAACGCTCTAAGTCGTCATTCCCGGAAATTACCCATTACTATGTTAATGGAGTTTTTTCGAGCCTCTATTCAACAGTGGTACTACAAGAAAAGAAACCATGCAGGTATTATTTCTTTGAATTCGTAACTTATCATATTTATATATTTTACTAAGTATTGTTTATTTAAATTTACAGGAACATTGGAACATCGTGTTACACCATAGACTGAAAAAAAGATAACGAAACGTGTTGTGAAGTCAACGTCATGGAGAGTTGA